TGTCACTCCACTAAATTTAGCACTCTGCGCACTACGCTCTTTTTGCTCTCTTCAAGCTTTTCTACACCGTGAAAAATACACAGCAACATTTTTAATAAATATATTGAACGAAAAGTATAAGTTCCCATATTTATATATCTGTAAGTTTATCTTATAAAAATAAGTTTTACATTTCATGATGTTACAACCCGATTAAAAAGTTATTTTAAATTAAATTCAATTTTTAATTGTTATTAAATTTATAATTTTTTTTTTTAATTAGAAAATCTTGTAACTGTCAAAATAAAATAAAACTGTTTTTTTAATGCATCCAATTAGAATGACAAAATAAGCAGGGAACGAAAATAACTGTTATTGTAAATTTTTCATACAAAAAAATCACGCACTTAGAAGGGTCCTAAAATTTTTTTAAATACACCACAATTTTTATTAGCCATTGTAGTTTACAAATCCGTAATGATTTTTATTTTTTGATTTTTATAATAAAACTCAAAAACAAACTGTTATTTTTTGATTTTTATGAATAACAGTTATTCTCTTGACATTTTTGAAAAAATGAAATAATTAAAAAAAACATGATACCCGTGCTTTTTATAACTTACTAAAAATTTGTTAAAAAAGGCAACCGCGCATATTTTATACCTATATTTTTTAAAAATTTTGTTTACCCACAAAATCGCCATAAATCAAGTTTGAGTTTTATTTTGATCACGTCGAATAACTGTTATTTGTCAACTTTTATTATATAACTCAAAAAATAACAGTTATTCTTTGAGTTTTACTTTACAAATCAGAAAATAACTGTTAAAGTGTGATTTTTAAAATAAAACTTATAACAGTTACGTTCCCTGAAAATAAGTGTCAACATTTTCTCATCGTGTAGATCCCTCTTTTTTTAATTTTTTCATCAGACATATGGCCGCTAGCTAATTTATGCGTTGTTTGCTTTTCATTATTTGTCTTTATGCCAGTACCGCTGTTAATTACCAGTTCCTACAATTCACAATTTGCTATTTGCAAATCAACCGGCAAAGTAAACAACAGAGAGATATAGATACCATATAGAGAGAATGAATTGCAATCGTGAAACAGCTGACGAGTCGGTTTCTCTCGCGAAATCGCTTAGTCGTCTATTTCCCAAAGTTTTCCTCAGCTATTCTCAGTTATTCCTGAAATGTAGAGGCGGAATCAAGTTTCGCCCGCGAGAATAAAATATTATTTTCTTTGCCCCACAATATAATTTACAATTTTTCAAACGAACAAAAAACGAGACATGAAAATGTGAAATCCAAACAACGAACGGCTTTGAAATAAGACGCTTGATTGAGTTTAAGCGCTTTTCGAATACCAAACAAAAGCCCCAACTTAGTGAAAAAACTTTGAATAAACATCGACCGAAATTCACGATCAAGGTCAGTGCCAAAAAAGAAATTAATTGTGTATTTTCGGCTGTTTACATATGAGCAAAAATAATTGGGACTCATTTTTATCAGTTAAAGATAAAGACTGTTTCGCGTGGAGGAAATGCATTCATGCTTGGAATACAAAGGTTAAACCGGTATTATGATAACACCGATGAGCGCATAAACCCGTTTAACTTGTCGAAGAACCAGTGCAAAGCTAGGAAATATTGTGATTTATTGAGGCTCAACAAGTGGTTGATAGATATAAGGAAAAACAATACCGGACACGGGATTATTGCAAAGAGAATTTATCATCTAATAAAAAGAATATAACATTTTAATGTATAATTTCAAGATTTTTTGAGAAACAAATAAAAAATAACATGTTTTCATTCATATAGTAATGCTAAAATTACATTATTTGACTTTCGGCACAGCAAACCATGAAATTTAATTCAAAAATTTTATATTTTTTGTTCCTTTTCCAACCGGTCTATAAATTTGCAGTTTTCAAATGGCGAAAATCGGCCTGACAATGCATTAAATCGCTGTAAGTTTCTAAATTATGTGGCCCAGTGTCGGCAACAAATAACGTCACTTGTCTATTTATTCCGTGCAGTGTTTACCTAAACAATTTCAATTATGAAGTCACTTGCGAATTGTGTGCCAAATTTCGTTGGCTTTGTCTATTTGTCAAAATTAATATCCATTGAGTGATAGGATTATGCAAGAAAAGGGGGAGTGTACATCGATATAAGAAACCCCTAACATTTTATTGATTCTATTAGACGACATTAATGCTTGTACCAGTCGTCTTAGGACATCAAATGCTCTTGAACTTGTTCTATTTTTGTTTTTCCAAGCACACGCAATGCTATTAACATATGAAAGAGACCTTGACTAGGGGTCTTAATGCTTTTTATTTATTTTTAATTTGTTTCGGTGGGTTTTTGTATTTTTTCTTTTGTGATACCACTTAATACCAATGATTAATGGGGTGTGAAATATTTTTTGTTCAATTATTTTGTAAAAAAATAATTTTTTCCTCAATACAAATAAATTTATTATAATAATATTATACAAATATTCTTAGTAACAAATTTTAATACCGACTTAAATTATCTAATTTCAGTTTGCAAAAATAAACGAGTGGCAGACTTGAAGAGACTGCCCTAAAAACAGAGTTCAACATCCACCCACCCCCACACACACCTCGCCATAATGTTGCGTAACACGCCCTTCGGCGCCACGCCCACCTACAAATTACTCCTGGGCTTTGGACTCTGCTCCCTTGGGGGCGCCATGCTATATGCCTACTTCAAGACCCGCAATGACGAGGAGGAGGAGGCGGACTCACGTGACCAGCAACAGGCAACGGGGATTAGAGGACAGGCGGCGAGCCAGGAACAGAAGCCCCAGAAGGAAGTGTGCCTCAAAATCGTAGTGGACAACGAACATGTGCCCCTGATAATGGGTCGCGGTGGCTCCAATATCAAGCTGATTGAAGAAAAGACCCTGGCCAAGATAAGATTACGGTAATTGGATTTGAATTTTATCGACCGAGGAATGCCTTATTAATGAATAAAAACCTTTCTTACAGGGACAAAGACAGTGGTCACAAATTCTGCGACATTAGCGGCCTGCCCGATGCCGTGAAAGCAGCTCGTGTCCTGCTGATCAAGGAAATTGAGCGGGCACCGGTGGTGAAAGTGGAACTGCAGGTTCCCCAGCGACTGGCGAGCAAACTGAATGGACGCGGTGGCGAACTCATCCAGGAGATCCGCAGCAATTCGCTGGCCAAGCTGAATATCGATCCGAACGGGCGGAATGGCAAGGCCAAGATCACGATTGTGGGCAATCAAAAGCAGGTGAACATAGCCCGAAAGATGCTCGATGATCAGATTGAGGAGGACGAGGAACTCCTGCGTTCCATGGAGGAAGTGGAGCAGCGACGCGAACCACGTCGTTCGCCCACCAACAGCATTGCATCCTCCAGTTTGTACTCCTCGCAAACATCGCTGAGTTCGCACACCCAGCCGAGGGATAAGTTGATGGCCTCCAAGGGCGAGGGGAAGCCCATGGAGGTTTATGTCTCGGCCGTCGCCTCGCCCACCAAATTCTGGGTGCAACTGATCGGGCCGCAGTCCAAGAAGCTGGATAATATGGTTCAGGAGATGACTAGCTACTATAGTAGTGCCGAGAATAGGGCAAAGCATGTGCTCACCGCTCCCTATGTGGGTCAGATTGTGGCCGCCGTCTTCAAGTTCGACGAGAAGTGGTATCGCGCCGAGATCGTGGACATTATGCCGAACCAGTACAATCCCAAGGAGCAGGTGATCGATCTGTACTTTGTGGACTACGGGGACAGCGAATACATTTCGCCAGCGGACATTTGTGAGCTGCGCACTGACTTCCTTACACTCAGGTGAAACAATCTGGAAAATGGATAGATAAAATAATAGTCTAATCAAGAACGTAATTAAATATTACAGATTCCAAGCTGTGGAATGCTTTTTGGCCAATGTAAAGTCCACCATTCAAACTGAGCCCATTACCTGGCCAAAACAATCCATCTCCAAGTTTGAGGAGCTGACAGAGGGTATGATTTTAACCAATAGATTTTATGAATATTTCTGATTAAACCGTGAATACTTTAGTGGCCCACTGGAGGAAGCTGATTGCTCGCGTGGTGACCTACAAGGAGCGCCCCAAGGCAACTACCGCTGTCAATTCCGCCGCCAAGGAGGGAACACCGCTGCCCGGCGTGGAACTTTTCGATCCTGCCGATAATGGTGAACTGAATATTGGCGATCTGATGATCACCCAAGGATTTGCCCTCCCCCTGGACGATTCGTATCCAGTGCGATCGCGCTCCTCGACGCCCTCAAGCAACAGTGACTCGACCATTGAGGAGCTGTGCGTCAGCAATCCCGTGACTCCGCTCACGCCCCATTCGCCCATGTCGATGTCCATCGATGTGGAGAGTATTACGCAGGCGGAGGATGAACATCTCGCCCAGCAGCTGCAGCATTTGCAGCAGAAGCTCAACGGAAACGATATAAGAAACATTAATGCGGTTAAATTGACAGCAACAGACCTCGAAAACGGGAATAACAATAATGCCAACACCACAAATGGCGGTAGCACGCATTAGACAACCGCACTTTGTTACTAGTTATCCTCGCCTAATTGTTAATAATATTAAGGCTGGATGAGCAGCTCACCACTTGACTTGTACATAAAAATGTATAGCTTTTAAGGAACTTATTATATAGGTACGAAGAAAACTGTTTATTTTATGGCCGTGACTGATCGACATATCCTAGATCCTAAAAGCTGACGATGGAACGGCACAGATCCTTAATTGTTTATAGCAAGCTTTGCCATGTTACTTATTGTTAGCAAGAACAAGAAAAACATTTGTACATCAACAACAACAAAATACACAAAAGATCACAAATTTATCGAAAGAAATGCATTTTATAAGAACTTCAAACTTATGTCTATTAAATGGGCCTGTCCAGGGTTTAAATTAAACAAAGATTTTTAAAGATTCTTAACTTTGTTTACTAAAACATTTTGTCTGATTAATTTATTGATTTTTGATTTATTTATTTTATTTTTGTGAATCAAACAAAATACGTTTATACTAGAGGCATATAAAAAACTTTGAATAATTATATTTTAAACTTATTTAATTGTGCTAGGAAAGCATATAAAATACAAAGATTTTGTATTCGTTTAGTTCTTTAAGTTGTTAATTATAAATTATAAACATTTTGCGTAAATTCGTAGGAATACTTGATCTTGAGATAAATTATCCCTTTTTTTTTGGAAAAATACAAAATATTTTTTTTTTCAATTGATAAAATAAAAGTTGATAAGAGTTAGGACCTTATAAAACATATTAAGCATATGACTAATTACCTTAAAACTATTGCAAACCCCAGAAACAGGCCACTTTTACAGTCTTGTTTAGGGGACTTACCCCCCGCTTAGATTAGGATATCGTTAGTGGTATTTATAGCTATGGGTGGCAGGTATATAGCTCGGATCTGACTGCGCAGGCGTGCAATTTCCATGTCGTCCCGCTCCATTTCCCTGATGAGCTGCGAGAACTGGACCAATCCCTCGCGGTTCCCTGGAAAACCGTGACCCTTGATGACCTCCAACTGGAGCTGCATTACCAAGGGAAATACCTATACAAATTCGAAAACATTGAAGATTATAAAATGGTAAATATTTTATTTATTTACATGCTGCATCATGAGAATCATCTCTTTTCCAGCCGAGGCCTTTGCTTCTGACAGCTTCTTGGAGTTTTCCGGCTGATTGACACATCGTATAATATCCATAAGTATTTGCTTGGCACTCTCATTGTTGAAATTTGCCAAATAGGACATTATAAACGTTTAAACGGCAGTGTTCAGTCTAATTAAACAAATGCTCAACAAATACACGGTTTGTTTTGTCTTTTGTTTAGAGATGAGTCATGCAGGGAGTAGAACTATCGGTAAGGGATAGGTATCGGTAAAGTGTTAAATATATGTAAAAATAAACTCAGTTTTTAATTAATAATTTTATAAATCAACTTTCAAAAATTGTATACAACTTAATTTTAAAATTAGTTTTTAACATTTATTTAGCGGCTTCTGTTGTTATCGATAGATGCTAGAATATCGTTGTCCCGTTGTACAGCTCGTTCTAAAGGCTTGGAAAAAAATATAAAAATTAAATAAATTAGGCCACAAATATTTAAAGATAATAAAAAAAGACAAAAATATCATAATTATCAGCGATATATTCCTGCACTCCTCTCTAATATCGCAGCGCTTTCCAACACCGCCTGGCTGCAGTGCTGTTAAGTGCCGAAAGTATGTCACGTCGGAAATCTTGGAGCAACGACAAAAGACACAAATATTAGAAAAAAAGCTTATTTTGCGCAGGCATTCGCATCTCCCAAGTAAATGCAAGACCATGAAATTGCACATTTAGTACGCGCCACCCAATTGTGAAACAAATTGTCGAGTTTGCAACGCAGAAAAACCCCCGAGCAAAGCAACAACAACGAAACGCAGTTCACAGAGGGCCACTGCAATTTTGCGAGAGTGTGAAAAGTGCGTGTGTGCAAAAGAATACAAAGTAAAAAAAGAGAGGGGGGCGCAGAAGAAGCAGTGGAGGCAACAACATACAAAAACACAAAATATCTACACAGAGAGAAAAGCGCAAAAACACCCGCACACCCATACACACATACAACTCCAGCGTCGAGTCAGCAAATTGTGCCACACACACAAAACGGAGAAAGAGAACGAAGAGTGGCAGAAAAAACAGAAACAGAGGTGCTCTTCTCACATCTCCAAAACTCCAAAACTCCATAGAACCGCTTTCCGAATCTCCAAATCTCCGGAATGAATCGCTCGGACGGATTGGTGCGACGCTCGGTGAAACCCCGGGAAAACGGGGGCGCCGAGGGCGGACTGAATGCCAATACGCCGGATGACAATCAGGATGCACTGGACAGCTTGAAGGACCAGGAGGACAACATCGACGATGGCGACTCCAAGGAAACACGACTCACGCTCATGGAGGAGGTCCTGCTGCTGGGACTCAAGGACAAGGAGGTGGGTGTGGGTGGGGGCAGGGAAAATGCCTTTCCTTCCTATCCTTTCCTTATCTCTTATCACTTTGGGATCCACTAATTAATTAGTTTCTTTCACAACAAAAAGGTTGCCTCTCCTTCACCTGTTAACTGCCGTCTCTCTCTTGCCGTCGTTTTCTCTCTTTCGCAACCTTTTGTTTGGCCTTAAGTGCATCGCGGTCCATCTTCGAGCAGGGGCTTAGTTGAAAGGGGGTTAACCAAAGGGGTCATAAACCTCTATGCTCTGAAATATTTGTAATTAATTTTGGAGATTTTAAAAAGGTTACTAGAAGGGTTTTTTTTAACTATTTTAATTTATCATTATAATATTTATCCAAACATTATACATTTTGGTATGTGGCTAGAAATTGTAAAAAAAATTTAATTGACTTCAAATCGGAAATTCCAATCTTTAAATTGTTAATGTTTTGTGATTTTTTTGCCCAATCTTGATCTCACAAATCAGCCCTGAAATGTTTGTTTAACTTTAATGCTAAGCCCCTATTTTCTGATGGGACCGCCACCCCTGCCTCACCAACTTCTCCTCAGCTTTTCCAGTTTGTTGAGCAATACACTATGAAATCTTTTGACCAGACTGGTGAGTAATGCACAATTAGCCAGAGTGCCAACACCATTTTCTTAACAACTTGTGTTGTTGCCATAAACAATAGTCTGGACGTCTTTCTTTAAGAGGCTTATCAGGCATTCCTTCTAATCTTTCTAAACTTAAAACGTGCTTCCGACTTCGTTTTAATTTTGTTGTACTATTTTTATCGTTAAAGTTTAAACAATAATAGTTGTATAACTGGTTGAAAGAAAAATTTCCATAAAATTATAATGTACATTCAGTTGGAACCACTTTGGTTATCAATACAATTACTGGATTAAAACATATATGTACGGCTTTAGCTATCAACATAAAAATCATTTTAATAATATGATTACAATATTTTTCGGAAGCGTAATTACTTTGAAACTTTTACTAAACTGTTCTAAGAATTCGTGATTTCTTGGGAAGTACTTGAGAAGATACCACCCAAAGATATTGCTTCGATTAGATAATCAAAATGTAGGTAGTTGTGCCTTAAATATCTGCGTATAACAACCATTGCTCTTTAAAAACTTCACTCAAGCAAACTCGAAGCGAAGCTCTGAGAGCATTCCATCAAACGAGTTTTCCAATAAGTGGTTAATTTGCATACGATTGTAATATTCATAAATCTGCGTATATTTTTGGGATGATTCCGAAGTGATTCCGAATCGGCATCCATACGTACCCCATTATAACGAACCGGCAGATTCCCATTTCCACATTGGATTCGCCTTTTTGTATTTCACTTGCCTCGCAGCTTTATCGCTCAATTGCTGTTCGCATATATACCCTATAGTAATACGGCATGTGTGTCTTTGTGGGTGACACCACGTCTATTTGTTTTCATTATTTTGCCTGCAGTGTATTTGTGTGCCCAGTTCCACCCCCAACCCCAAGGGGAAAAATGAGATGGAAACAGTGGGACGTGTGCTCGTTGCTCGGTTTTGTTTCACATTCTTCTTCTTTGTGCTCTTATCAAAAACATTTCATCCATTTGGTTAATTGTTTGAGGAAGTACTACCAAAGCTCTCCCGTTCTTCGCTTTGCATTCATCCGCTTCCCATTTTTCTTTGGATTTTTTCTTATCAGCCATACGTCATTCAATTTTTTGAAATTATTTAATGTACTTGTATTGTATAGACCCGAACCATCCATTACGGACATTTTCATATAATCAATGTGGTTGATAACCGACGTGTTCTTTTATTGAACCTGCAAATGATTCACTTTTATACATTTCTATTCCCAACGATACCTTATCGATGATGATTATATAAATTTTAATATCACGAAACGCTGTTAGTACGTTGAATTGTCAATTATAATGCCTTAAATTATCTTTACGTTTTATTTAAAATAGCTCTGAAAAGCAGTGTGATAATTTAAAAAGACATGTTTAATGACCGAATTTCGTTATGTTTTCAAAACATTTCTTAGGTAAATTCATTTTACAATGACACCTTACACCTTTATAGGTAAGGCCTAAGCAAACTCAAGTGTTTAATGTTTGAACAGGTGAATATTGCCGCCTGAGAGCTTTAAGACTTGGCAACAACTTAAATATTAATTTATTCCACTCTGAACATATGTGAAAAGACAAACGCCTTTTCAATTGTTTGAGTCTCAGAGTTAAACATACAAATTTTGAAACCTTGAATCATGAGAAAGAAACACTTTGTTTTGGTTTTAAAAATAAAAATGTAGGTTATACTCAAAGAAAAACAAAAATAGTAATAAAACTATGAAATTGTTATACAAATTCCTACTTGATGCAGACACAGTTTTGCAATACCCCTTGTTATCTTTATATTCCCATTAAGATCTTTATGGCACAAAACTAATAACCATTTTAATTATACTCAGGGCTACACATCTTTCTGGAACGACTGCATATCAAGCGGTTTGCGCGGATGCATTCTCATAGAACTTGGACTGCGCGGTCGCGTGATGATTGAGAAATCAGGAATGCGTCGACGTGGCCTATGTACAAGGTATATCAACAAAGCAGATGCATATTCATAGGCAAATCTCTGAAGTAAACTAATTATTATTTGGTTTTTGCAGAAAATTAATTCTGAAATCGGATCAGCAGACGGGCGATGTTCTACTCGATGAGGCACTCAAACACATTAAGGAAACAGATCCCCCAGAGACGGTACAGAGCTGGATTGAATATCTAAGTGGTATGTGTTCAGATATATAATAATATGCCCAGGATATATAATAATACTGATTAATGCGGCAGGTGAAACTTGGAATCCATTGAAATTGCGCTACCAGCTGAAAAATGTACGCGAACGTCTGGCCAAAAATCTGGTGGAGAAGGGTGTGCTCACAACGGAAAAGCAAAATTTTCTACTCTTCGATATGACGACACATCCGCTGAGCGATAATGTGGTCAAATGTCGCCTGGTTAAGAAGGTGTGTTCAAAGCAAATCAAGGAAATTATGAAAATATCTAAAAATGTATTCCTACAGATTCAAGATTCTGTGCTCTCCAAGTGGGTGAACGATCCGCAGCGCATGGACAAGCGGATGCTGGCGCTAATCTTTCTAGCCCATGCCAGCGATGTGATTGAGAACGCCTTCGCGCCGCTAAATGACGACGACTACGAGGTGGCCATGAAGCGGGTGCGGGAGCTGCTGGATCTCGACTTCGAGACGGAGTCGGCCAAACCGAATGCTAACGAAATTCTGTGGGCGGTGTTCATGGCGTTTACGAAATAGATGCTCCTCTGATCCTCTCCGCTCCTCTCAATAGCACACACACACACCCCAAAACAGAGATACACACACCCAATCTGGAATACATTTCGCTGCTTTTGTTTTAGAAACTTTGCTGTGAGCGGAACCGAATCGGGCGATAGGATTTTCTTGAATGGCAACCACCCCAAATATCAGTTTCAGTAATATATTTTTTAAGCGAGACTATAATGCAGCCATAAAGCCTATATAAATATATATTTAACTAAACTGCAATAGTATCAACTGCTCCCATGTCCTTTGTTTTTCCCGTTCCTTGAACATTTTGACATGCCAATGTTTTCCAACCATATTGAGTAAGTTGTGTTCCACGGCAAATAGGGTTTAGTTGATTATTTCTCTTGCAATGCTAATCAAAATGTAAGATGGAGAATTCGAAACTGCAGCATTGTTTTTGTAATTATATATCTAATACTAATTGTAAGCGACAACAAAACAAAAAAAACTGATAAAGTATGGGCAAGCTGCGTGCAAGTGTCTTTTGTCAAGTATCCTATATATATTTAAATTCCAATTTCCAAGTGTGTTTAATTGTCACGTTTATTCGAGCCCTTTCCAATTATTTGATTGCGCTACGAAAATCAGTTTAAAACTTTTCTCGAGCTCCGCAATTTTACCTTAGTACGTTCGAACATAGTTAAACACATAAAGTACAGTGCACACCCACCCACAGGAACAGACAGACAAATTCACACGGAGCGACATTCAATCTAGGCAATGTTTTATTTTAAATTGTTATTGAATTTCGGGAACATTGAAGTTGAAAAAACCTTTTCTAACTGCTAAAAGATAAATAAATAAATAAATAACGACGAAGTGGACAAACAGAAGAAAAGAAAAATATTATGTAAATGTAAATGTGCACGTCAAATAATAATAATTCTTAGATATTTAAAGGCCTAATAAAATACAAATATAAAATATATAACTGAAGTAAACTTGTGAATTTATTGAAAATGGGGTGATGAAATCAATCTCGGTGCATAAGAAATGTAAACAATTGGATCGAGATATTCTCGTTTGTTGTAGGTTATTCATCTTTTTGCTCTTATCAAAAATGTTTCCAAAAATATATTTCATTGTTGAAGGAAGTACTACTGCGCTTTGCATTGATCTGCTACCATATTTCTTTCATTATTCCTTATCATCCATAATTCATTCATATTTTAATACCTACACTCCATATTGTTAGCATTTGAGTGACATGAATGACTAACCTTAAATTAAAAAACAAAATTTTTCCATTCGCTTTGTAATAAAGAGTTTTTATTCCGTTTTTCGTACTCAATAAATGTGTTTTTTCGTTTTGCACAGTTTTTGTTTTCCTTTCGATAATCAGGAGGGGGCAATATACCATATAAGTCGAATAATTCTCACACGAAACATGTAGGTTATAATATAATAATCTTTCAATGACATAAAGTATGATAAAAAGCAGGGCGCAGCGCACAAGTTATTGCAAAAATACATTAAAATTAACATCGGTTAGGCCAAAAAAGGATGTAAACAAGGTAGTGCTCTTATACTATCCATTATAATCAACTAGTAGTTTTCAACTGTGGGAAATTTGTAAGTAATTTGTAATTACAATTAAACATATGCATGGAATTTTCATAAGAGAATAATTTTTCTAAGTAATTTTGCAGATTAGCAGTTGCCTCGTTTAACAAATGTTCTGTTTTTAGCGCAGCTTTCAAAAAATACATATAAATATATATATATTTAAAGTAAAACAATTCAAAATGTGGAAACTTTAATGTAAAAATTAATGGAAGAATGCTCAAAATGATAGCCATTAATCAATATATATGTATATGTATTTTTATTTAAATATAATTGAAGTTTCCACCAGCTGTCAGCTCCAGTTCTTGCTCTTGCTCTCGATCCTAAACCCTCTGCTCCTCCTATTTGCCGAGGCGACTGCGCATGGACGACAGGCGACGCATCCGAGCTCGGTTTTGGGAATAGCTGTCCGCCCATCGCTGCTCGGGCTTGTACGTGCCGGAGTAGCCGGCGTGCTAACTCAGCAGATCCTTGATCTCCTTGTGCATGTGACACAGGAAATCCACGTAGCTGGCGGAGCCGTCTGTGCCGCGATCCTCGACGAGGAAGTGCCGGAACACGCTCTCCAGTTTGTCGTTCTGCCGCAACCAGGTGATCTGAAAAAGGGGTTAAATGTATTACAAATTTGTGGAAATAAAGAATACTCAAATACTCACCCTCATGTAACGCGATCGCTCCTTCATGATCTGCTCCAGAATACCGTGTATGCGCTTGGCCAGCGGCGTCTCGGGCACAATGTGGAACCGCTCCAGGGCCAGCTGCTGCAGTCCCTGGACGCCAAAGACGGACTGCACAAAGTTGGGCGACAGCGACTGGCCCAGCCAGACGAACAGATGCACGCCGTTCTCCAGGATGTAGGCGCCATCCTCTTGCGTCTTTTCGTGCGTGCAGCGAACGGGAGTCGGCAGATCCGTCTCCTCGGGCACCACGTTGTGGATGGGAATGAAACGAGGATACAGGTAGTTGACCGATTGATTCAGGTCCATGGACAAAATAAACTGAATAACATAGGATCGATCGTCTAGCGTCATGTCGGAGCCACCGGAAATTGCGTCGTTTTTGAGCAAGCACGAGGCGTACAGCGGCAGCAGCTTGAGGCACTCGGGAAGGATTAGCTGGCCGGCGGAAGTGGGCGAGGTGCAGTGCTTGCGGTAGCAGGCCAGGATTTGCGCCGATCGATGGATCAGATTATCCTTCACCTGCTTGGGTGAGTGCTCCATCAGCTTGAAGCAGGCTTGCTTAGCGAAGAACAGCATCATCGCGTCCAGGTCACAGCTCTTGAAGACGTCCGCAATCGTTGTGGTCACTCGCAGTGCCAGATTAAGGACACGCAGACGTCGCTGACCGCTGCACGAGGTGTACAGCAGGGCAACCTGAAGGTATACGTTCTCCTCCGGCGGCAGCTTGTCGTCGTGCTTGATCTCAATGCTCACCGACTTGGTGGCGTCTATAAAAGATAGGGAAATTAGTTATTTATTCAGAATTAAGTATGGTAATGACCAGGGCTCGGAAAATAACACACACTGTAAAAAACTTGTGTTAGTAACATGTTAAATGTCAAAGTGTTAAATAGTTATAGACTTGTGTGTAAAAAATTGTATCCTACATATGTTAGAAACATAAATAACACACACATGTCATTCGTGTTATTTACACGACGTGTTATTAACACGACATGTTTTTTTACACAGCGTTTATGACATTAAAAAATCTAAAAAATTCACGATTTCCAGAGTATAAGAATGCTAAAACGAACATATTGGTTTTTAATTTTCCCTTCGTCTCGTTAATGTCAGTGAAATGTAATTTTCTTTTGTGCTAAAAACATAGTGTGTAAAAAACACGTCGTGTTAATAACACATTGAGTAAAAAACACAAGTGAGCTGTGTTTGCTAACAATTATTTGTCACATTTTAACACTTTTGTAAAATACAATCACACTGTAAAATAATTTTTCATGTTTTTTTCATGTTTTTAACATGTGTGTCAATTTCAGAACCCTGATAATAAATACATACCAATACTGGCCAGCTCCACATCGGTTGTATTGGACATAAAGAAGTGGCCATAGAACTCCGTGGGTCGGATTCCCGCCGATGTGCGCACCCTCATCACCGCATCGAAAGCAATCGGCCGAGAAACGTTCTTAATGATATCCTCGATCAGTCGCTTGCCATCGATGTCCGCCTGGAAGTAGGTGTACTTGAACACCTCGCCACCCGACAACCGGGAAACCTGTCCAATTGTGGCCAGATCGATGTAGGCATTGTTAAACACAAACAGATCCACGGAACAGCCTTGCTGGACGCACTCCTGACCCAGTTGATTGTAGACCGTAGTTTGCGGCGTCAGCACGGTTTTCTCCTTATCCGTGCCCAGCAGCTTGCGGTCATCGCGATTCTTCAGCTTGCCCGGTGCCTCGGCAATGGGCAGCGTTGAGTTGAACACCAGCAGCTTTCCGGCTGCATTGGAAGCCTTGAGTGCCTCCAAGCCAGCTTGAATGGCTGGATACAGAATCGTCTCCGTTTCCTTGGTATCGGCAAACATGCGAGGAATCTCCTCCATCAATGCATCGATCACGGCCGCCGATTCCTCGGGGTGACACAAGAAACCATCGAGCAGGGGCATGAACATCTCCTGGACATCGCCCACCACCATCATCTGCGGCTGGGCCAGACTGCTCTTAATGTTGTAGAAATGCACGGTGCTGTTGTACGTGATGAAGCCCACTCGGACCTTGGACTTGTCCTGACCCTGGTCCACTGGCAAATGCTTGAGTATGTTCTTGATCTGGCCGCACAGCAGGTGAACCAGACCCGACTTCACCGTGTTGTACGAGACATCGATGATGAAGATAAAGGCAGGAACCTCAGGGGGAGTGTTGTTCTGGAAAATAAAGGGGTAAAATAATTAATATACATTTTCTAGATTTTTCTATTCTTAGGATCGCGCTTGTACATTTCGTCGGAGTACAAAAATGCAATGTCATCTTTGAGAAAAACATAAAGTAAACCAAAAATATCACCATATGTTGAACATGTTCTCTGAACTATGTTTATAAATCTTGTCCTACTTTGAAGTGAACTATTTTTAAAAGCATAAATATTTGTTCTTTTCCATTTTCGTTATTAGTATTTTTAATATTTAGCTTTTACTGACTATAATAATAAATTTTACAAAATGAACATTAAACCTTTAGCCTGATTTTTAAAACTTTTCACTTTATAACGATTTTTATTAAAGAGTAAAGCTTTACCCGGCAATAATCCTTGGTGGCCAGAAACTCGTAGGTGCCCAGCAGCAACTCAGGTCTTTCATGCTTGTCCACACGCTGACCAGTGTGGTCCAGATGCTGATAGTAGTCCGGATGAACTGGATGATAGAATTCACATTATTCCGCTTTCCTTTTATTTTTCTTTCCTTCAGGAACACTCACCCTCCGAGGTAACTTTGCACATCAGGCACTGGAACCGTCGGCCGGCATCCACGAACTGCATATTGGGCGACATGTACGCCTTACATCTGTTGCAACGAATTGGTCCCATGTCGCCAAAGTTGACGATCGGTGGCTCCAGCTCACCCTCTGCAGTTTTGGCCAACGGCGAGATATTGATCGTCAGCGGAAGAGCTGTGGTCTTCAGGAGATCACCGGTATTGGGGATGCAGTAGAGCGAGGAGCGCAGGAAGCGCGGTGACGAGTTGCCCTGGTCGTGGACCACGAATTTGGTGGTCACTAATGGAGGCAGCAGACCCGGCTGATTGGTCACAAAGGGTCCGCCGGCCAGACGTTGATTTTCGATCATCACCTGGATGGGATTCGGCATTTGGTCGGGATCCAGGCGACGTGGCTGCGGTGCCTGCTGGTACATGTTCCCTGCTCCCGGCATGGGAGGTTGCTAAAAAAGAGATTATAAGAATTATTTAGGTGAAAATTGATTATAGAATAATACATTACATTAAATCCAGGACGTCCTGGCTGACCGGGATAGCCGCCACCTGGCTGCGGTGGATAGCCTGGTGCTCCGGCCTGTTGTCCCGGCTGCGGTGGATATCCTGGCATGGGCTGCTGACCAGGTTGCGGCGGATAGCCCGGCTGTTGACCCGGATAACCCGGTTGCGGTGCTCCGAATTGCGGCGGAGCTGCTGCCTGCTGCCCTGGAAGTGGTGGTGGTGCTCCAGGGAAGCCGCCGGGAGCTTGTCCTGGATAGCCACCGGGATAACCGCCGGGTTGGGGAGCTCCATAAGGTGCTCCTGGCTGCGGTGGCAAACCCGGTTGCGTTTGGGGTGGCAAACCAGGCTGCTGTGGGGGAAATCCCGGCTGCTGCAGTGGTAATCCCGGTTGCTGCAATGGCGGGATTCCCTGCTGCTGCTGCGTCGGCAATCCTGGCTGCTGCAAGGGCGGGATTCCCTGCTGCGACGGCAATCCCGGTTGCGTGTAGGTCGGCGGAGCGGCGCCAGGAGGCAGCTGAGGCTGTCCCGGTCGCGAACTGGGCACTCCAAAGGGGCCGGGAGCAGGCTGGGATGTGGGAATCTGGCCGGGAAGTGGTGGCTGTCCCGGCAGTGGCGGTTGCCCGTGAGAAGGTGGCTGGGAGGAGCCAGCTCCCGGCACTGGCGGCTGACCAGGAGCTGCTGCTCCAGGCGTGGCCGCTTTCGGTGGCGGCATATGCGGCAATCCCGCCAAGCTGGCGCTGTTCAAGCTCATCTGATTGATCCCACTGGGCACGCTCTGCGGCGTGCTGCTGGGCGGAAGGACGCCGTTGACATAGCCACCGGTTTGCTGCTGCGTCGGTGGTGGAGCACCGAATGCGGCATTATTGTTGTTGGTCGTCGGGGGTGGTGCCGCATTCGAGTTGAACTGATTGAAACCGGTTGGCGGTGGTGCGACAGCAGCGGGAGCTCCTTGGGGGAGTGGTGGCTTCAGGGGATTGGCTCCACCACCGCCTCCGCCCACACTTAAACCACCCATCGACGTGGCCAGCTGTAAGAGAGAATGGATTTTAGTAAATTCACTTGGCTCTTTTCTTATCTACAAGCTCAGCTTCACTTTTCTATTACGAAATCACGGATGACCTCTTTTAGTGTATGAAGTGCTCACTGCTTATCAGGCGGAATTATAGTTATTTACTGCTGTCTGTTTTTAAAACCTAATTTTTGGGAATATACTTTTAGTTGGTGCTTTAAAAAGAGGTAGTTATTTTGTAGTTATTCATGGTGAATCAAGAGGTCAAGGTGGTCTAGTAATTAAAAGGGGTAACGTCATTGGGCAAGACTTTTGCGAAATTCATAGGTTGTTTACAATCTTAGGGAACCAAATCGAATAACTTGTATAGGATTCATTAATTTTGATATTATTTAATTGTTTTACTAACCTAAACTAATGCATATAAGGTAATTTTTTAATTTTAGGTGATTATTATTTATGAGAAATTATTTATCATGAAAAATAAAGATAAATATATTACTTAGGAATATTATAAAATTTGGTCAATAAGTGTATTATAATTATTAAAATAGGATTAGAAGTAAAATCAGTCCCTATAACTACTATATTCTATTATAATCCCTCTATCCTATTGCTATTAAGTAATCCTAAAATTGGGTTATTATCATATAATCCCAGTCTATCAATTCCTTTCTGATTAACCTATATTGAACTATTAAATCCCGGCTTGTAAGCACTTTCTTCCTGGATCCTACTTCCTAGTTATCCAAATTCACCTGCTGCTGGTAGTTGCCATTGAGGTAAGACTGTGGTGCCGCTGACGTTGGTGGTGGTGCTCCATACTGTGGTTGTTGTTGTTGCTGCTGCTGCTGCGGCGGAGGCAGTTGTTGTTGTTGTTGCTGCGGCGGCAGCGGCTGCTGCTGCTGCGGTTGTTGTTGCGGTGGCCAACCTCCGGAAATCGTCGGCGGAGGAGCCCCAAACTGGGGCTGTTGTTGCTGGAATTGCGTGGGCGGCGGCCCGTACATGTTCGGATTCATTTCTTGGCCGGATTGGTCACCGTTCCGTTATTTGCTCCTGTTTATAACGATCAGAGGCTCTGAAGCTCTAAGCCAACAAACAACTTTCACGCGAATCGAAGAGAAAACACACACGGGATGGCTCAAAGTTCGCCACGGCGATTTGGCAATTTCGGGGGCTGCTCGGCCGGATTCCTGACCACTGACTCCTCGACTTTGGCCACTCGGTGTTGGCCACAACTCTTGACGGCCGCGGCGCACGAGACGCTGGTTGAAAAACAAAAATAATTTCGAGCTAAACGAACTTCCACGTCAGTTCCCTAATTCGATTTTTTTTGCTCTCTTTGCCTGCCACGTATGGGAGTGTGCGTGACCTGACCAAAACAAAAATACCACAAAATACCAAAAACGGTGCTGCCAACCGGCTTTTAACGAAGCTGCCAACCGATTTGTTATAGCGCTGCTGTTGGCTAACAGCTGTTATGCGTTGAGAAGGTGGCGCAAAGAAACGGAGTGACGTCAGGAAGTCATTGAAATAAATTGAAATTAGTTTAGTTTTGCATTTCAATTAGTATTCAATCTATTTGGATCTAAAATTTGTCACACAATTTATTTATTATACTGTTTATGGACGGTTATTTAAAAAACCTTATATAGATTTTTCAAAAATTAATGTTTCTTGCAGTTGGGTCTTTAAAATTTTGCATACAACTTTTAAAACTCTTTTATTTCCTTATTTGCAGGCAGGGCTACTAGTGGCTCAGAGATCTCCTCGAATCGTCCTGCCCAGGCCCTGGTGTCCACCTTAAAGGACTTCCTATCGAACTGCACAACGGGTCGCATGATCTTGTTGAATTTCAGTCCCGTGAAACGCTCTATTTCCTCAATCTTGGCCCGATGATCACTCAGCTTTCCGCCCACCGTTCGGCTGTTTTCGATGATATATCCTTCCATAAAAGGATACAAGCCTGGAATGCGACTCTCTACGATCAGGACCTTAAAGTAATGCGATGGAACTGGCATAGGAATCCAATCGAACACCTCGTACTTCATTGTCCATTTGCCATTCTCGTGACATGAGGGTGTGTAAATCGGCCCAGTGTAAGTGTACACTGAGCCAAACTCCTGGGCCTTGGTGGAAACATATTTCTCTAGATCGTGCCATATTCTTCGCTTAAATACTTTACAGATCTTCATCGAACCACAGCTCAAAACGTAGACATCATTGTAACGAAGATTCAGGCTGCTATATCCACCTTCATCGGGCGCTAATTTTTGATAGTCCCCGCGGAAATGTTCACAGATCCATCTGGGGGCATTCGTGCACATATCCTGCGAAACAATATAGTCCTTGTGGACATACAAGTTCTCCGTGCTGGGCAGTCCGTATTTGAGCAAATCCAGAAGATCCGTTGTAGTTGCCGTATCAGTTTTTAGCATCAAAACAGCGCTAATAAAATCGAAAATCGGTGAAACCACCAATTCTCTGAATTTGTCAGCCAAAGAAGTGGAACTATTCCACAAACGGGTTTCATGATCAGTCCTAAAGGTAGATAACTTTTGGAAAAACAAAAGAAACTATGAAGAAAATATATATATTTAGTAGTATCACTCACCATGGGATACAATTTATGACGATGATGGTACACGTACGGATCCCTTCGAATCTGCTGGAATAGTTGCCTTATAGACGCCTCTTGTTGAACAAAGGCCCCGCACACAAATCCTGTTAGTCCCGCCAGTGCATATAGGGCCCATTGATGAGCTCTCGCTTCGTTCATAGACATTATTCGGGTTTACAATAATTTGGTTCACTGTTTGAAGCTAATATAATTTTGTAGAAATGTCAGAGTTGCTTTGGGAAAGCCTACTTTTTACTAATATTAAAATTTTGAAACCCATTGCTAACCAAACTCCCGAAAAACCTGCGATTCACTGGGATAGTTGCTGCCAAACAAGGCACTTCTCCTCAATCCATCAAAGAACTTCAATCCCGCATAATGCTCGATCTCACGAATGTCGCAGAGGAAAGATCGAAGAGGCAGACCATCTGGTATAGAAGCATTGGGCATGACATAACCCTCCATATAGGGTTTTCCCAAATGAACTTTCGATTCCACAATAATAACTTTAAAGAAATGAGTCGGCACAGCTATCATATTCAGTCCAATCATTTCGTACTCCACACTCAATTTGCCACCCGATCTTTGTTTGGGTTTATAAAGGGGACCAGTGCAAACGAAAACGGAACCAAAATGATGAACGAGACTTCGAACATATCTTTCTAGGTTGTTCCACGCCCCTCGATTGAAACCCTGACCAATTTGTGGGGCAATATTGGTTAGAAAGAAAGTATCCTCGCAGTGATTCTGCTGTAGATGGTGATTTCCAGCGGCTGCCAAGTGTCCTCGATCGAATCCGGATCTCCGATAGTCGGTTAGTTCGGAGCGAAAGTTGGATGGAACACTCAAATCTGGTTGATAAGGATTGCGACCTCGTCTACCTCGATTCGGATGGATGCTGTCCACCTGAAGATGCTCACACACCCAGTGGGCCACCCGATTACGCCGATCGTAGGAGAGCACAAAGTCACTATAGAGCCGTAAATCATCAAGACCTGGAAAACCGTACTTCATGATTTGCTTCATCCGGTGATCAGCCTCATCATGGGTCTCAAAGTAGGAAAACTAGTTTAAAATCGATTGAAGTACTGTGGTTTATTTTTCGCTCACCCACCACTTCATCAATTTTGGGGCTGACATAATAGGCATAAGGATCTGTTTGTATTATTTTCTGCAAGCGTTTTCTGGCATCTTGGTGTTGAAAATACATTCCACCTATAAAGGAGACACATAGAGCAGTCACTCCCAGGACGAAACCCAATCCTAGCAGCTGCCATTTTCTGTCCATTTATTATACCCCTTTAAAGCCAAAAGGTAGATTTTTTAATTCTAAAAGTTTTTTCATGGCTAACAATGTTTTTTTTGCACGGAGAACCAACATTTCCTTCATCCAAATGGTATACTTTATGATCTTACCTCAACTTCTATAACAAATGACGATATTTTCAAATCATTTCTAAGATTTTTTTAACATGTATTTATTCTTTATTACTCATTAGTACTTAGTGGTGCCATAGCATTGCGATTGGCAAAAGTACTGCTTACTGGGTTATTTACAGAATTTGTCAGAGGATTTATCGAAGAGGTTACTTGGGTATTGACAAAGTTGCGGTCGAGTCCTTCGAAAAACCGCAGACCCGTGGCATTTTCTATATCCCGGACATCGCTGAGCAGGGTCTTCAGCTCGATATTTTTGTTCAGCGGAGTGTTGGGCATCACAAAGGCCTCCGCATATGGAATAGTATCCCCCTCGAACTTTTTATCGATGACGAGGATCTTGAAGAAATGCGTCGGTACGGCCACCATGGTTCTCTCTTCCGTTTGGAACTCCAGGAACCAATTATTCGACTTTAGCTCACGGGGTACATAAATGGAACCAGTATATACGTACACGGTTCCATGCTTCTGACTCATCTCATTGACGTACTGCAGCAAACGATTCCAAACGGTGAGGTTAAATCCTCGGTTCAGAAAGGGTTTAATGTTGGATAGAAAAAATACCCTCGAAGCCTCCGACTGGCTAAAGGCTCCAACTGGAGTCACGGATGAGGAATCCCCATAGATAGCGCTATGCGAAAGATCTACCCGCTCACACATCCACTGAACTGCGGAATTTCGTCGATCGAATGACGTCACAAAGTCAAAGGTCTCATTTAAACTGATATCGTTTGTGCTGGGGAAGCCGTACTTCATAATTCCACCCAGTTTGTGACAGTCCTCGGGTTCCTCGTCGAATTCTTTGCTATCTGCTCTCACAGTAAATATTCCCAACTGTAGTAAGAAATAAAAAATATTTTTTAGAACATTTATAAAGTTTTCTTAAATATATTCCCTTACCAACGCATACAGTTTCCTTCGGATAAAGTAGGCATGTGGGTTTCTTTGTTCTAATCGGCGAATATTTCGCATCACATCAATGTGCTGATAATATGCCCCTAATGCGAAAAAAGAGCCGGCAGTTGCCAATATACCTAGTATGCCCTTTACTGGCATTTCCATCTATTCAATATACCAGCTACAATAATTTAGATTTTATACGGAGAAATTAAAATAAAAGGTAATACTTTTTGTTTAGTCAATAAAGTCTATGAGTTGTGTGTGAAAACTAACTTTGTTGTGCATTAAATCTAAAAATACTCCCCCAACTTCCCTTAAAACCTGAATCTTCCTGCAGTTAATCTTTAAAGTTTCCGTGTCCAAGTCCAAACTTGACTGCACTTGCCAACTGCATTAAGTCAATAGAAAAAGTTGCAGTCATCGTTGGGCAGAGTCAAAAACTAAAAAGTCCTTAGGACAAAACATCCCCCATTCCAGCTTTCTGCCCCCTTGAACCATATAATAAGCGTTTTTGGGGCTACGCCTGACTAAACCAAAAGCGGCGTCAAGATTTATTCTCGGAATCTCGTCGTACTTTGTTATGCTTAAAAATGTTAGTTGTGGATTTACAGTTTTTCCGTTTTCCATGGCCACAAAAGTTTTTCCCTCCCGCCTCCTTTGAAACTTTGGGCGGTTAAGTGATGGGAAAATGGAGGGGTGTGGTGAAGGAGTGTTTGTTTATGGAGGAGATGAATTTTAATTGTTAAAAATATTTTTAATTTATGATTATTTTAACTTTTGTACCTATAATATATTTTTATTTTCAAAGGTAAATTATCCGAACAAAATAATATTTTTTAATGTTTTCTTCTTTTTTTAATTTGGTATAATACTATTTTCTAATTTCGGTTTATAGTCAAATTAAAATTAGATTATATTTTAGTTTACGACGAATTTTTAAAAAATCTTTAAGCAAAATAAACCTAATAAAGTAATCCCACTTTAACTTTAATCTTTGGCGGCGAAGTTTGCGAGTAAAACTCAGTAAAACTTTTTTCGACACATGACAAAGGTTTTTGGGAAAGACGCTAAAGTGCTGTAAATTTGTCTCCAAATTTTCCGCTGTCCAAGAACCGAATTCAGATTTCTCCTCCAGGCCTTAAAATTTCTATCTCACATCCACTTTCCGTTTGAGTTGGCCGCGAGGCATTGCCAATTAATTTCCAACATCTAATTGGTGGTTGGCCAAATTTATTGGTCTCCAAGGGGGGCGTGTTTATCCTCCTGCCCCTCGGATCTGTTTGCATATTGATTGATGCCTGGAGGTCCTTTTTGTGCCACTCTAAGGTGCACTGCATAACCTCGTCAAGGGTTCCGCGCCTTCCTCTTGCGGATTTTCTAATCAACAAGGCTCGCCCAAATTTGCATAATTAAAACGTTTTCATGTGGCTCAGGTGAGAGGCAATGAACTGCCACGCCCCCACGCCATGCGCCCTAATTTTCCAGTTTTCTTGGCCAGCCGAAAAATTGACTCGCTAAGTGACTGAAAATTTGTCGCCTCATTTGGGTTTGGATTAATGAATTATGCACTCGGGGCTGCTTAATTGAGCGAGTTTCGAATGTGATTAGGGGCCAGGCAATTAGCCGATAGGTCTGAACATTTTCGGGATCTGCGATAATCATTTGCTGACTGACAGCCATAAAAATGATGCCCCAGGATTTGAAAAACCAAACTCATTACGAAGCCTTCTTTTCCTTTTTTTTGGGCCTGTACAGCAGGTCAACTTAATGGGGTAATTAACTTATCTGGGTTAGAAAGGGTGAAACGGTTAAAATTTTATGTGTTTTTCATTCGGGTACTAACGAAAACATGTGCAACGGGGGAAAGTCAATTACCGCCAGGAGGGTTCATAAATTAAAAGATTTTATATTTTATACAAGATTTGTTATGATATTTTAATGGAATGATTTAGAGGTTTTTAGAAAAAGGAAAAGGAACTAGCAATACAATTTTTGTAAGTTGTTAGATCTTGAAGATTTGTTAGTTTACTAATTTAAATAAACAAATATTATTATATTCTAGAAATTATATTCTTGGGATCATATCTATAATTATTTTTAAATAGATTTCGGTGCCTTTTTAGATCTTTTCAAGATCATTTTTTATTAGTCATCTCCTTCTTAATCGATGATCTCTCATTAGGAATTAACACTTTGCTTCTGGCGAGATGCTCTGCTCCCCAGTAATTATCGCGATATTTGTGGAAAGAGAAGAAGAGAGAGCCGGTGATCAGTTATCACTAGAGTGAGTGGATCAGTGAGAGCAGACTTGGGGTCGCCGTGCTCTCCATTCCGAAATTGGAGCTCGTACCGCTCGCCGATTCTCGGATCGTCGGAGAGTTTGATCAGTTAGTTGGGCACCATTGAGCGGGTCAGATCTGCGGCTCTTTCCGCCGGAGTGCAAAATCTATAACGGTAGAGATCGGTCATCGCACGCACTACTCGATCGGTCAGAGGCCCCAAGGGGGATATCTTGGAGTAACCATGATCTCGCAGCTGGGACGGATTAGCATTATTGGTGCGGTGCTTTTGGCATTTGTGGCCCTCGTACTTGGTGAGAAATAAATATATATTTCAAGTCCTATCAAACGTGTGTACCTAACATTTAATAGATTGTTAATTTTTGGAGTGTTCATGGTCGTTCATTGTCTCATTATTTAAATAATTAAAAATATAATTATACCTTAAATTAAATTTAGATACTCTTGCATATTAAAAATATTGTTTGAGACCTTGTTGCAAATGTACTGTGTGCTCATTAAGATCTTTTATTTGAAATTTTCAGCCAGCAGCTCGGAAAAAACCGATCTTGACCCCAATGCCAGCTGCAATTACACCCTAGTCAAGAAAAAGACTTTGGGGGTGGATCCCTCGTTTTGGAAGAAGTTCTTCAAGCACTTGATACCATTCACCAGCTCGAGAGGTAAAATGCAGTTCATACTCTTCAAGCGGGATTTTGCGGATTGCGGAAAAGAATTATTCGTTGGCGATTCGGAAAACCTTAAGAACTCGGGCTTCAATGCACGTCATCAAACGAGGTAAGGGGGATTTCCTGGTAGATTAAAGACCCCAGATTGCAAATCGAATGGGGAACTTTTTGTTTGTGGGGAAGTAATTGTGCAACAATCAATTTGTTTTCGTTTAACAGTGGGATAATGGCTTAAAAAAGCTGTGCAAACTTTTAAACACAAAATAATTGACAGTGTACTCAGTATTCCCATTCAATGGATGCTACTTACGTCTAAGCCCACCAAATTAATGGGAGAGAAAAAATCAGCAATCTAATGAATAGAACCAAAACAAATATTGGCTTAATTCTCTCAGCAAATAATTTAATTTTTATATTTCGCGACTAACACCAAAACAGGTTCTCTGCTTCATATATTTACATTTTTTCGTTGAGCTTTCGTTTGGTTTATCGCGTTTTGAGTCATTGCCATTTGCCTGACACTTGAATAATTGCCCATTAAAAATTAATATATGTATTAAAATGATAATAGATAATAATTGTTTTGATGAATTTTATGACAGATGCGAGACATCGATTTTACATTAATGTAGTGATAAGATAACAATTAACACGTTTGTTTTTGGGGCCTTTTATTAACAATTCTACTTAAAATATTAGAAGCATTTCCTTTGTAAAATAGCTAGTAATATATTTCAAAATTTGATCAGTTTTAACTTAGTTTTAAATTTAAGTTTGATAAACCAGGAAAGATATAATATTACTGGGTTTTTACGAAAGGCATCTCATCTTTTTGTTTCTGATTCCTCTTTTTTATAGAATTGTTATTCACGGTTGGATGAGTCAGAGCAAGGGTTCGCATATAAGGAAGGTTAAGAACGCCTATCTGAGCCTGACTTATCCGGGAATTAATGGAGAACCCGCCCGTTACGAGGACTTCAATGTGATCGTATGCGACTGGAGCAAGACCTCAACGAATGTTAACTATTACGAGGTGGCCAAGACGGTGGAGGATATGGGTGCTTTACTAGCGGATCTAGTGCGATTTCTCAATCAGGAGGCAAATATGCATTTCGACGATGTCTACGTGATTGGTCATTCGCTGGGAGCTCAAATTGCTGGCAGTGCAGGGAAGCAGATTATGCCGTATCGTTTTAACACCATATACGCCTTGGATCCGGCGGGTCCTCAGTTCCGGGAGAAGAGCGATGAGTACCGGATCGATGCTAGTGATGCCTCATATGTGGAATCCATTCAAACCAGCGTTAGTTTTGGTTTCGAACAGCCCGTGGGACACGCAACCTTCTATCCGAATTATGGGAAAAATCAAAAGAAGTGCTATGTTTATGGCTGTTCGCACAAGAGATCCCATGATTATTTCATAGAAACACTGACGAGTCCGGCGGGATTTTGGGGACCCCGCTGTGAGCGTCATGAGGATGGCAGCTGGATTCTTCTGCTGAGCGATGGAGAATTCCGAATGGGTGGCGAGCCATCGATTCCAAAGAATGGAACCTTCTATGTGAAAACATACTCGAAACCACCTTATGCCATGGGTCACAGGTGGCAAACGGAACCACCGCCTCGAGACGATGAGGTTGAGAATTCCACAGAAGAGTAGGATATTATCTAGAATGTTATCTGCATGCGCAACTGTTAATATAATAGAGTGAAAAAGTGTATTATAATTAAATAATTTTATGTTGGTTGTCTCTTTTATTTTAATCTAAAATGAAGTAACATAAATCAAATTCCTTTAAGAAATTAAAATAATTTTTATTTTTAAAAAACATTACGTGTATAAATTATCTTTTTCTTAAACTTCTTAACCATCTTTTGTCCAAACATTCTTATCTTTAGATCTCTGCAAATTCGCAAACCAATTAAATTTTATGGCAAAACCAATTGTTAAGAAATAACCAACTACTGCTTGCGTAAATCTGCTGGAAATTCCTATTGGTAATGTAAGTTCTTGAATGTGTATATAAACCTCTTCAATACGGAAGTCAAACCCATTCTTTCGCCAATTTGCAATCAAAATGTTCCGTGCTCAAAGCTTTTGCTTAAACTGTGTAGTTTTCTTGGTCATGGTAGCTGCCAGGCCTAAACTGAGTTCGAAAATTTCCAATAATCAAATTGAAGTGCCAAGTAAAATTAATGAAAGGCAATACGTACCAGCTACTATATCAATCGATCGAGATTCAATTACAGAA